GCCCCATAGAGACCTCCCCAAAAAAGACCAGACCCATAGGAGCATCCGAAGAACCTCCAGGAACATCTCGAGATCTTCCAGGAGAACATCAAGGACAACTTCAGGACCCACAAGAGCACCCCCAGACCCATAGAGAGCCCCCCAAGAAAGCCCAGCCCCATAGAGAGCTCCCCGAAAAAGCCCAGACCCATAGGAGCATCTGAAGGAGCTCCAGGAACATCTCGAGATCTTCCAGGAGAACATCAAGGAACCCCAAGAACACCCCCAGACCCACAGAGACACACCCCACAGAGCCCCTGGACCCATAGAGAGCCCCGCAAGAAAGCCCAGCCCCATAGAGACCTCCCTGAAAAAACCCAGACCCACAGGAGCACCCGAAAAACCTCCAGGAACATCTCGAGATCTTCCAGGAGAACATCCAGGACAACCTCAGGACCCCCAAGAGCACCCCCAGACCCATAGAGAACCCACAGCCCCACAGAGACACCCCCCCAGACCCATAGAGAGGTCCCCAAGAAAGCCCAGCCCCATAGAGACCTCCCCGAAAAAACCCAGACCCACGGGAGCACCCGAAGAACCTCCAGGAACATCTCGAGATCTTCCAGGAGAACATCAAGGACCTCCAAGACCTCCAGGAACATCTTGAGATCTTCCAGGAGCACCCCAAGGTCCTCCAGCCCCCTAAGTCCCCCTCCCTGCCCCACACCCAGCCCCCCAAGTCGCCCTGCCCCACACCTGGTGACGTAGTTGACCAGCCCCGTCTGGAGGAGAAGGTCCCTTCGGGGCAGGAGGTTCTCGGTGATGAGGTTCTGGTTGGAGCGAACGGCCACCGCATTGCAGACGCAGAGGGAGCAGAGGACATCCAGGACCTGCGCCGTGGGGCACAGGGAGGAGGTCTCAGCCCCACAGCCTATGGGGCGGGTGCCCGCCCCACACTTATGGGGCAGAGAACCTCCTCCCACCTTGTGGTTGCGACCGTGTTTGTCCAAGAGGGAGATGATGGACTTGATGTGGTTCTCCTGGATGATGTTGAGGACCTCGGGGCTCTCGATGAGGACGCAGTAGAGGACCTCCAGGATGCCTGCGGGAGGCCCAGCCCCATAGAAAGGGGTCTCAGACCCATAGCGAGGGGCTCGGACCCATAGGAAGGTCCTCAGCCCCATAACAAGGTCCTCCAGCCCCATAGGAAGGTTCTCCAAGCTCATAGGAAGGTTCTTCAAGCTCATAGGAACGTCCCATTTCCCCTACAAGGTTCTCCAGCCCCATAGCAAGGGGTCTCAGCCCCATAGCAAGGTTCTCCAGACCCATAGCAAGGGGTCTCAGACCCATAGCGAGGTCCTCCAGCCCCATAGGAAGGTTCTCCAAGCTCATAGGAAGGTTCTTCAAGCTCATAGGAACGTCCCATTTCCCCTACAAGGTTCTCCATAGCGCCCTGTCCTGCTCTCAGACCCATAGCGAGGTCCTCCAGCCCCATAGGAAGGGGTCTCGGCCCCATAGCAAGGTCCTCAGCCCCATAGAAAGGTTCTCCAGCCCCATAGCAAGGTTCTCCAAGCCCATAACAAGGTCCTCCAACCCCACGGGAAGGTTCCCCAACCCCATAGGAAGATTCTCCAGCCCCACACTTGCCCTCCCCCCAACCCTGCCCCACACGTTGTGTCCTCCCCACACCCCCCTGCCCCACACCTGCCCCACACGGCCCCATAGGAAGGTCCTCAGCCCCATAACGAGGTCTTCCAGCCCCATAGGAAGGTTCTCCAAGCTCATAGGAAGGTCCCACTCCCCCTACAAGGTTCTCCAGCCCCATAGCGAGGGGTCTCAGACCCATAGCAAGGTTGTCCAGACCCATAGCAAGGTTCTCCAAGCCCATAACAAGGTCCTCCAACCCCACGGGAAGGTTCCCCAACCCCATAGGAAGATTCTCCAGCCCCACACTTGCCCTCCCCCCAACCCTGCCCCACACGTTGTGTCCTCCCCACACCCCCCTGCCCCACACCTGCCCCACACCTGCTCCAAGACCTCCAGGAACATCTTGAGATCTTCCAGGAGCACCCCAAGGTCCTCCAGCCCCCTAAGTCCCCCTCCCTGCCCCACACCCAGCCCCCCAAGTCCCCCTGCCCCACACCTGGTGACGTAGTTGACCAGCCCCGTCTGGAGGAGAAGGTCCCTTCGGGGCAGGAGGTTCTCGGTGATGAGGTTCTGGTTGGAGCGAACGGCCACCGCATTGCAGACGCAGAGGGAGCAGAGGACATCCAGGACCTGCGCCGTGGGGCACAGGGAGGAGGTCTCAGCCCCACGGCCTATGGGGCGAGTGCCCGCCCCACACTTATGGGGCAGAGAACCTCCTCCCACCTTGTGGTTGCGACCGTGTTTGTCCAAGAGGGAGATGATGGACTTGATGTGGTTCTCCTGGATGATGTTGAGGACCTCGGGGCTCTCGATGAGGACGCAGTAGAGGACCTCCAGGATGCCTGCGGGAGGCCCAGCCCCATAGAAAGGGGTCTCAGACCCATAGCGAGCATAACAAGGTCCTCCAACCCCACGGGAAGGTTCCCCAACCCCATAGGAAGATTCTCCAGCCCCACACTTGCCCTCCCCCCAACCCTGCCCCACACGTTGTGTCCTCCCCACACCCCCCTGCCCCACACCTGCCCCACACCTGCCCCACACTCACCCGAGGAGGCCTCCAGCCGGTCCAGTTTGCTGACCAACCAGTCCAGGTTGGTGGAGAAGAGGGCGCAGTTGGCGCGGTTCCCCCGGATCAGCGACGCTTGGGGGGCACAGTTATGGGTCAGGGCCTCCCCTGCCCCATAGCGCCCCGTCCCGCCCCATAGATCCTCATCCTGCCCCATAGATCCCCATCCTGCCCCATAGCGCCCTGTCCTGCCCCATAGAGCCTCATCCTGCCCCATAGATCCTCCTCCTGCCCCATAGATCCTCCTCCTGCCCCATAGATCCTCCTCCTGCCCCATAGATCCTCCTCCTGCCCCATAGATCCTCCTCCTGCCCCATAGATCCTCCTCCTGCCCCATAGATCCTCCTCCTGCCCCATAGATCCTCCTCCTGCCCCATAGATCCTCCTCCTGCCCCATAGATCCTCCTCCTGCCCCATAGATCCTCCTCCTGCCCCATAGATCCTCCTCCTGCCCCATAGATCCTCCTCCTGCCCCATAGATCCTCCTCCTGCCCCATAGATCCTCCTCCTGCCCCATAGATCCTCCTCCTGCCCCATAGATCCTCCTCCTGCCCCATAGATCCTCCTCCTGCCCCATAGATCCTCCTCCTGCCCCATAGATCCTCCTCCTGCCCCATAGATCCTCCTCCTGCCCCATAGATCCTCCTCCTGCCCCATAGATCCTCCTCCTGCCCCATAGATCCTCCTCCTGCCCCATAGATCCTCCTCCTGCCCCATAGATCCTCCTCCTGCCCCATAGATCCTCCTCCTGCCCCATAGATCCTCCTCCTGCCCCATAGATCCTCCTCCTGCCCCATAGATCCTCCTCCTGCCCCATAGATCCTCCTCCTGCCCCATAGATCCTCCTCCTGCCCCATAGATCCTCCTCCTGCCCCATAGATCCTCCTCCTGCCCCATAGATCCTCCTCCTGCCCCATAGATCCCCATCCTGCCCCATAGATCCCCCAATTGCCCACCCATCTGCTCGGAGACCAGGTTGAAATCCCGCCCCACAGCCCTCCATCCTGCCCCATAGCGCCCTGTCCTGCCCCATAGAGCCTCATCCTGCCCCATAGATCCCATCCTGCCCCATAGATCCTCCTCCTGCCCCATAGATCCCCATCCTGCCCCATAGATCCCTCAATTGCCCACCCAGCAGCTCGTAGACCAGCTTGAAATCCCACCCCATAGATCCCCATCCTGCCCCACAGCGCCCCGTCCTG